CCTCCAAACTGCCAAAAGATTAAACCCTCGTCAGGCCCGTTGGGCACTATTCTTCACTCGGTTCAACTTCAACATCACTTACAGACCTGGTTCACGTAATGTAAAACCAGATGCTTTGTCACGACAATTTTCCACAGATCCTTCAGACCAAAGAGACAACAATATCATCCCGTCCTCCTGCTTTATTGGAGCAGTTTCCTGGCCAATCCAACAGATCATCCAAGAGGCTCAAGCATCCGAACCCGATCCTGGAGGGGGACCTCCAAATCGTCTGTTTGTCCCTACATCTGCAAAAGCTAAGGTATTGGACTGGTTACACAACAATAAACTCTCCTGTCATCCTGGCATTAACCGCATGATCACACTAGCTTCACGATATTTTTGGTGGCCGACTCTCATTAAGGATGTTAAACAATATGTCTCAGCTTGTTCTGTTTGTGCCAGAAACAAGTCTGGTAATAGACCTCCTGCCGGCCTACTACAACCCCTACCTGTTCCTGGACGTCCTTGGTCTCATATATCCCTGGATTTTGTCACTGGTCTACCCTCATCTCAAGGTAACACCACCATTCTCACAATTATTGACCGCTTCTCCAAAATGGCCCATTTCATTGCCCTTCCCAAACTTCCCACTTCGTTGGAAACTGCTAAAATCCTCACCGACCAGGTTTTTCGTATTCATGGCATCCCAGTAGACATCGTATCAGACCGTGGACCTCAATTCATATCTCAGGTATGGAAAGCTTTTTGCAATGCCATAGGTGCATCTGTCAGTCTGTCCTCAGGTTACCATCCACAATCTAACGGACAATCAGAAAGATGCAACCAGGAACTGGAAGCTGCCCTGCGTTGTATCTCCGGCAAAAACCCCTCATCCTGGTCTCAGCATCTCTGTTGGGTAGAGTATGCACACAACACCCTTACATCCTCTGCCACCGGCCTGTCTCCCTTTGAGGTTTCTTTGGGTTACAACCCCCCCCCTCCTCCCTGAAGTGGAGCCAGAATGCGCCGTCCCTTCTGTCCATCAACATCTCCACAAATGCAGAAGGATCTGGCAGCAGACCCGGGAGGCCCTTCAGAAGACGACTGACCAAAATAAGAGAAGTGCGGACAGACATCGAACGGAGGCACCCGACTACAAGGTGGGACAAAGAGTCTGGCTTTCTACGAGGGACATCAGGCTCCAGGACACAAACAAGAAATTGGCGCCGAAATTCATTGGACCCTACCCTATCGAACGCATCATCAACCCCTCTGCGGTACGTCTGACCTTACCAACTACTATGCACATTCACCCCACGTTTCATGTATCACAACTCAAGCC